ATCCTGAAAAAAAAGTCCCGTGCAGATTTCTCAAAACTTATGTTCGACCGAATTTTTCCTTCATCTTTTGACCCCTCCACAATCGACCGATCACTTTACCAAATTCTCTGAAAAATTTCTATCGAGCGAGGGGACGAGGAAGAGGTGGGTGGACATCCCCGATTAGGAATGGCAGCTTTGCGGCGATGACGCCGTTCAAAAGAATTGATGGAAGGGTAAAACATATTTTGTACTTCGCTAACCTCACAAACTCTTGTAAATGCCATATCTTATGAAATGACATTCTTGTAATCATTGCAACTGGAATGCCCTGCGCATCCTGGAGAGAGATTGGCCAACTGGACAAAACGCTCGACGATACGGCGCTCTATTTTTGAGGTGCGGGTTCGACTCCCGCCTGGGATACGACTTTTGCCCATAACTCAGCATTCTTGTGGTGATTTTCGCGAACTGTGGTGTAAAACAGCAGTCATTGTATAAGACTTCAAAATTTGTAAAGCCTCCGGCGTCGCGGTTCACTGCCAATATCTCGCAATTGCGGATGCGGGTTCGACTCCCGCCTGGGGTACGACTTTTGTCCATAACTCAGCATTCTTGTGGTAACTTTCGAAGCGCGAACTGCTGCGTAAAATAGCAGTTATCATGACATGAAAACTATACTTTTTTTATCCAATTTCGGACTCCGAGATTTTTGAGAAATCATCCAAAAGCCTGCTTGGCTTGAAAACATGAGTTTGATGGGAGAGAAGTTTCGAGGGAAACGCTAAATTGAAGCGCCAAAGGCAATTGGATCAGTGACTTTTGTACCCTGTATTGCGTCAAAGTAGCCATCTTATGACATGCTCTGAGCCTGAAAACCTTAAAATTCGCACTTTAGGGACGAGAGATCTACGAACGTCCTCCACATGTCTTCGCGATCGCCGACGCTGCATATCGTTCGATGAAACGCTATGGACGTGACTCTTGTATTGTCATATCGGGTAACGAGTTTTGAAGTGAAATTTTCTTCAGTGCATCCTTTTCACTAAATTTAATACTATTAATACTACTATTAATAAGTTCAAATGTCGGCCTTCCTTTGTTGCTTAGTTACGTTCATTGCCGACAAAAGCGAAACAGAACTGACCGGAAGGCTGAAGAGCTAAACCTGAGTGGAATGGGATGGCATATGTCATTGAAATTAAGGAAGCAAAAATAAAATAATGGGGTT